ATCATGGTAGAGAAGCCTAGCGACTTTGTGGAGCCAGATAAGCGCACGTTCGTAAATTACAACAAAGCCGACTGGCACGGCTTTACGAACTACATAGATGACTCATTACGTCACTTGCCGCCCCCCACATGTGCCAGAAGGGGTGAAGCAATATTTAGGAAAACTGTCCTTCAGGCGACAAGGCGCTTTATCCCCGCAGGAAGAATCCCGAATAGTAGACCAAACTTTCCATCTCAGGCTGCACGTTTGGCAGAACAACGCGATCATCTTCGTGCATGCAATCCAGCCGACGAGCATATTGAGCTGTTGACGGCACAAATTGACTCAATCGTCGACGAACATCGCCGCAACAAATGGTTAGACCATCTAAACCATTGCTCTATTGACTCTAAATCGCTATGGTCTACTATTAAAAGTCTATCTGGCAACAATAGAAACCAAAACCTCGCTGCTATTGCGTTTAACAATTTGCAGCATACAGATGCCAAAAAATGCGCAACACAATTCTGCAGGCAATTTATCGAACACCCCGCCACGCAGAGCCGGGCCAAAAGAGTTATAGTTCGGAGAACTAAGAATCTCACCCGAGACTCTCAGACATACTCCTTCACCCCCCGTGATGTCGAGAACATAATCTCCAAATCAAAACCATCTAAAGCTCTTGGTCCGGATGGCATCTCTATGTTAATGCTAAAAAAACTCGGTGTAGTAGGTCTGGAATATCTAACCCACCTTCTGGAACTATCTCTTCACCAATTGGTGATTCCAGATATCTGGAAGGTCGCCCGGATAATCCCTATTCTAAAACCAGACAAGCCCGCTACTCAAGGAGAATCCTACCGCCCTATCTCCTTGTTATCACCTGTAGCAAAGATTTTAGAATCACTACTACTACCAACCCTGAAAGAGCATTTCCCGCTCGCCAATCACCAGCATGGTTTCAGGGAAGCGCATAGCACCACAACAGCTCTAACACAGATAACCTCACAGATCGCCAATGGCCTCAATCAGCAACGGCCGTGTCAGCGTACCATCGTCGCCGCCCTGGATCTATCCAAGGCCTTTGATACGGTCGATCACTCGATGCTGATAAATGACATCACTAACTCAACACTCCCCAATGATGTCAAACGCTGGATAGCTAACTATCATTGTGGAAGACATGCGTTTGTTGAGTTTAGAGGTCAAAAATCGAAATACCGCAAGATAAAAATGGGCGTGCCTCAAGGAGGAGTATTGTCACCCTTACTCTTCAATATTTATCTTGCCGGGCTTCCTGAACCCCCCACTGATGTCTCGTTGGTGTCGTATGCAGATGATTGCACCGTTATTTCTTCAGGTGTCAATATCGACGACATAAGTGCCAAAATTACCCAATACTTGGCCACCATTACAGACTTCTTTCAGGAACGCAAACTTAGGTTATCTGCTACTAAATCCTCGGTATCACTTTTCACCTCTTGGACCAAAGAAGTAAGGACGGCGCTAAACATCTCTGTCGAAGGACGTACTATCCCCACGGTTCAAAACCCGAAAATATTAGGGGTAGTCTTTGACAGCCTCCTTCACTTCGCAGGGCACGCAAACTACATCAACCAAAAGGTTCGAAACAGAAACAAGGTCCTTAAAGCTTTAGCTGGCACCTCTTGGGGCATGGATAAAGAGACGATTGTAGCGACATATAAGGCTATTGGTCGCTCTCTTCTCAATTATGCTGCCCCAGTATGGACCTCTTTCCTCAGTGATACCCAATGGCGAGGTTTACAAACGGCTCAGAATAATGCACTTCGAATCGCAACCGGTTGTGTCAAAATGACGAATGTGGATCATTTACATGAGGAGACCAGGTTACTGTCAGTCAGACAACATAATGTGTTGTTGACTAGACAGTTCCTGTTGGCATGCCATCTGCCTAGTCACCCCAACCATCAGATTCTGATGGAGGATCCCCCTCCCAGGCACATCCGGATGGACTTCCGACGCTTTCGCAGCGACATTCAAGACGTCATACCATCGGACGTCGACAGACTGTCAATTGCAAGCGCCCGGGAAATGTTGCATCAAATGGCGGTCACCGAGGCCATTAATGGCTACAGATGCAACAGAGTCCTAAATGAACACCCCCCTGCGATATCGGACAGTGAGAGACAATTACCCAGGCACTCTAGAACCATCTTGGCACAATTAAGAGCCGGCTGGTGCAGTTTCCTCAACTGCTACCGTGAACGTATCGTTCCAGGTCCTCATGACACGGTGCATTTATTCAATTGTCCCGCTAGGTCTACAAATTTGCGCCCCATAGACCTATGGTTAAGACCGACTGAGGTGGCGCAGTTTCTCCAGCTCCCCCTTCCACCCACAGACACAAACTCAAATAATTAAGTATTTATTATTCTAATTTCAGGAAAGAACTATCGGCCACAGTCGAACTGTTACAACAACAACAACAACAAATTAACAACGCCCAAAACGATCAAACCTATTGGCAGCGAAGCAATAAAATATGCATAATTTTCATGGAAAACTTACAACAATATTTTGCTACCTCCATCACTCTCATTATTTATTCACAAAATAAAATTATGAACAACCGTCAAGATAATTCTTTAAAAAGAGTTCATTGAGTGATATATAATATTAATAAAAATAAAAAACAATATTTTTTATTGAAAGTATTTTATTTACACGTAAAAACTGTTAACGAAAATTCAAATCAAATATCAAATATTGAACAACAGAAGTTGATTTTTTTTTTTGTTTTATTGATTGAGTTGGCTAAGTAAAAAAGTTACTTATATGCCAGGACTAGTTTAATCCATGATTTTATACATAGTTAAAGGTTATTCGACCGAACTTATAAGTTTCTCAGGATGGTTTGTGAGGCAGATAGAGCCAAAAGTCAAAGGCTTTTGAAGTGGTGAAGTTCAGACCAGAAGCGGTGAGGATATTTCATGCAGAAGTTGATTTTTGAAATGTTTTTCATAATAAGAATAATAGTATCGACCTGAAACTACCTACATTTTTCGCAAAATTTTATGCTTTTTAAAAAAATCGTCAAAATTATCCAGAGCTTTATATTTTTGGAAAGAACTAGTCCTAAGCTACTTCCAGTTTTTCGGTACCCCGATTCATGTCTCCTCCAAATGCCCTTTTGATCCACTTGAAAATTCCTCTATTTTTGGCAAAATTTGATGATTTTTCAAAAAATCGTCAAAATTATCCAGAGCTGGAATTGCATATAAACTATATATTTTTGGAAAGAACTAGTCCTGGGCTACTTCCAGTCTTTCGGTACCCCGATTCATGTCTTCCCAAGAGTCAGTTTTTTTCATTTGAAAATTCTATATTTTACCACCATATTTTTAAATTTTCAATTTCAAATTCTTTATTTCAATAACCTAGCCTATATAGGCCATAATCGGTTATAATTTTTCATATTTAACGAGTATACAATTATTTTAACTAAGTTTTATTTTACATATTAATTTTTTGAATATATTTTTATATAATTTTACTTTTTAAAAAAAAAAAAAAAATTATTTGGTCTTTGTTTTATTAAAAAATAATTTTAAATAATTTGAAAACGAATTTTACAGTATGTGGAACGTATTTACATTATTTAGTGTGGGACGTATTTGGCAGACGAATTTAACTTCACACCCTTTATAAATGAAGTTGTAAATATACATATAAATACAAATGCATACTCTTTTTACTGCTATTTTACGTTATCATCCTAATCAGAGAAATCAGCATTGAAATTTATTTAATAATATGTACAATGAAACAATGAATAGAATTTATTAAGCATGTTGAATTATCTTTAAAATTACTTTTTATGATTTCGAGCCAAAAAATAAAATAATAAGTAAGAAATTTTAAATAATTTGAAAACGAATTTTACAGTATGTGGAACGTATTTACATTATTTAGTGTGGGACGTATTTGGCAGACGAATTTAACTTCACACCCTTTATAAATGAAGTTGTAAATATACATATAAATACAAATGCATACTCTTTTTACTGCTATTTTACGTTATCATCCTAATCAGAGAAATCAGCATTGAAATTTATTTAATAATATGTACAATGAAACAATGAATAGAATTTATTAAGCATGTTGAATTATCTTTAAAATTACTTTTTATGATTTCGAGCCAAAAAATAAAATAATAAGTAAGAAATTTTAATCCGGCTTGACCGACCATTTAATACCCTACACCAGTTAAGAGAATAGTAAAATGCCGGTAATGAAGGAAAATGTGGAAAAACATATTTATGGAAGATCATGCACCAAATTTCATTGCATTATCTCCAAAATTGCGATCTGTAGTTTGATTACAAGGTTTAAAAGCACTATGCATGGGTTCAGATGTGTGGGGCTAGGTGAAATAATGGACCGATCTTAACCATTTTTAATAGGTTTCGTCCCTGGGACAATAGAAAATCACGTTCCAAATTTCATAGAATTGTCTTTAAAATTGCGACCTGTTTGATTACAAGGTTTACATGGACGGACGGGCATAGCTAAAACGAGTCAGAAAATGATTCTAAGACAATTGGTATTCTTTAAGATGGGAGTATGACTAATATTACAAACATCAGCACAAACCCAATATACCCTCCGGAGGCCTAGCCAATAAAGTGGTGTAGGGTATAAAAATTGGTCAAATTTCGTGTAATATTTCAATACGTATGAATTGTTCTGAGAATGAATAATATAAATTTAAAATAATAATTTCACGAAATGTGGAAAGTATAAACTTTAAATATGAAAGTATAGTTTTCATTTAAGGTATTAGCCAACATATAAGGTACCATTCAGAAAATTACTAACGTTCACAACAGGCTTGAAACTTTTAAGTTAAAAGCTTAATTATAATGATGAAATTCAACATAAAATTTTTTATAAGACCTAAAATATCTTTATTTAAGTCCCAGCGTTGTCGAAGATAATACTCTAATATTAATATTTTTAATTTTTGGTTTGTTTTGCAGATGCGTGTTTTTAAATGTAGTACTCCAGTCTAACTAAAAGTGCCTTAAGCTATACACTAAATTTAATATATCGTTTAATCCAAGGTGCATCTGAACCCCATTATCTAGCATTATAAAGGAAAAGGGTAAGAAATATTGAATTCAAATTAATGTACAAACCTATTTTTGAATAGCGTTTGTGTGTTATTTCCACTTTTATTGAATTTTGGGGAAGTTGGATTTTAGTGTAATACTCGTTATGGCAGCTTAATCATGTTATCTTAAAAAGTTACCATATAAAAATAACGCGAATCAAAAAGCTATTGTTTGAGTTTTTTTGTAATTAACTGGTTACTTTACAAATTTGCGTTCGCGTACTTTTTTGATTGAGAGTAAATTAAAAACTACTCTCTATCATAAAGTTACTGGATATTTTTTACTGGAAAGTACGCGAACACACCTATTATAAACTTAATGAGGATCCTATTTATTTGGCTGATATGTATTATGTTTCTAAATTTTATTGCAGAAAACGAAAAGTGCGACAAAGTTCCTTTTATAGAAGATTACACGCCGATTCACCTAAACTTAATTTTGGGTCGTAGAATCTAGTAGCATACTCCGTTTTGAAAAGTTGAGTCAGTTGGTACATAAAACTAAAGTACATTAAAATTAATTATGTATGTCCTTTTAAAAGGATTAGTTCGTATGTCCTTTTAAAAGGATTTTTTAAAGTTTTAAGGACACGCAATTACGAAAGAAAAATTTAATGTAGCATATTTATTTCCTTATGTCAATATTGATAATAATATAATTTTAAGCTGAAAATCTATACAATCTACGTGTCTGGTTAAAAGTAAATATGTATAACGTGACCAGATGGTTTTTAATAAAAGCGGGATCCGAGTGTTAAAAAAGCGGGATTTTGAAGAAAATATTTTCAGAAAGCGGGATTTTGAAAATTGCTTACTTAACATCAAAACACGACGAATCTTATATACACACCATCAAAACCTTGTCATAAATATATCGATATTAATATGAGCATCTGGGTGATTTTCCATCTCTTTTATGGAGGAAAAAATTTAATATTCAGAGTTTTAGTTATTTTTTATATAAACATTTTTATTAGTGTTACTCACAACACTCTTACAATGGTTTTCTTGTCACAAAAATTTTGAAAATTCGGTTGAAATATTCTTAAGTCTTGATAGATGCAGTCAAAAAATATTGTTGTTTTTTTTTACTTTTCTACTTGTTTTTCTAAATACTTGTTATATTTTAAAAGTCAAATTTGTATTAAAATTTTATTAGTTTTTTTATTGAGTTGACAAAGTTTTTGGAAAATTTATAATAACAATTGTTTTTGGGTATGTTGTTTGAAAATTTCAAAATTTTGAATTTTAACGTATGGAATATTTGAAAATATTTTTGTTTTGATTTAGTATCCTTTGTTCTGAAAAATTATTTTTATTTTGTGTTGTATAGGTAACTTGTTTGAAATTTTTAATATATTTTTCAATTACGTAATAGAAATTGAAGTGTATTTTATATTCACACTCATGAAAGGATTATCCGAATGATAAATACAAAGAAAAAGATTAATTGCCTAACATAAAAACATTTTGAAAGAAAGGATAATTTTTTAAATTTCGGTAAAGGATATAAGTGAAATGAAAATTATTTAAATAAAAAGGAATGAAATAGTGATTAATTCGAAAATTAATGCATAAACAATATCAATTGCTTAAATTGAATTTTGTGAAATATATAAGAAAATGAAACAAATAAAATAAAATAAAATTTTGAACAAGAAAATTAAAACAAAATAAAATTAAAAAAGAAATTAGTTTAAAAACATTTTAATGACAAAAACAGTGATGGACGTATCAAAAATAAGAAAATAAACTGAAATCAAATGTAAAACAAATATATCAAAGTAAAATAAATTGAAAATTATAAAAATATAAAAAAACATTTAAATTTTGACTATAAATATGTCTTTTTTGGACTTTGGAAATTATAAAAAAAAAAAACATTTTAAAAGAAAAACAATCCAACAAACATTTTGAAATACATATAAAAGAAAATAAAATAAGAGAAGGAAATAAAAACATATTGCAACATTTTCAAAATATAATAATTGCGGGTAATTTCAAGAGTCCAACGAATGTGTATTGTGAAATCCGTTGAAAATTACCAGGATCATAAATAAATTCCTACATAATTTGCAAGCAATCAAATGTAATTCAAAGAAGCAAAACAGGTTAAAATAAAGAAAAGAATATGTAGAATTTATAAACAATCCCAAAAATGAACTCACAGAACCAATCAATATGTCATACAGCAACTATATGGCAAATAACACTCCAGACTGTAAAGGACATAGGTAATACATATCAGACAGAAACATGAAGCTATAAAACACCTATCAGTTGAACATTTCTGAAGAAATATAAGACAATTGGAAGAAAGTTTTTAACCGCCCCAATAAATATCGATTCATGAAAAATAATTTAAATACCGAAATTACCTGTCAATTACATAATAAAAATTTCAAGACTAACTTTAAAAGAACAAAATGAAAAGACAATTCTATAAGAGAAAAATATAATAGCAGGAAAAACCCTCACAAACACAAAACTCTATGCACACAATATCAGTCACAATTCATCTTCCACCAAAACAGTCACAAAGTAAATTTATCCAAATCAGCAATATTGACTGAGCAATCACAACATCCTTACCACCAACACATTCCCCCATTTCAAAGCTGACAGAAATTTCCCAAAATTGACAAATAATCTCACTAAAATTTACCATCATAAATTAGTCAATACTAGATAAAAAACCTATGCATATTAAATGCAATTAAAATGATATGAACCAACACAATAAATGGGCAACCAATAATACCAAAGCAACAGTCTGAGATACTTGCATTATAACATACTTTAAAAAGAAACAGTAATTAGTGAGTAATATGAGAGACTAATACAACATAAATCAAAATCATATCAAAAAAGGTCTCACATAAAGGACACTATGAATCACAAGAAAAAAATACCAATTAAAGAAACCCTGCATGTTGAATAAGGTAATCAGTTAAAAAAAAGTAAAAGAAAATACAAAGTTTCAACTTCTAATAATATAACAAAAAGACAGCACCAACAATGTTCAAAGTATTAATCCAAACAACACAAATAATCCTCATCCAAGCAATCACAAGTAAAACACTAATGACACCTCATTTACGTATACCCAGCTAATTTTTTAATCAGTCAACAGATATCTAATGATGCACCCACATATGAAATAACAAGTAAATGACAATTGAAAATAAAGCATTCAGCCAAATCCATTAAAATTTCAATACAAATATCAATAACCACATAAAACAAACCATAAACACAATTATGACAATATCAGTAATTCATCATATTGGATAATCACAAAGACAATTACTCTAGAATAGCAATAACAATATGAATGACAACACAATTCCAAGACCAATCTAAACAGTCCAACCAAAGACAGTAATTTAGCGTCAACGAATTTCCAACTGCAAAAGCAAATCAATAGAGTCCGACCGAACTCAAAATTTCGTTCGGTACCGAACACCGAACCCGAACTTCGGTAAATTTGAAAGTTCGGCCGAACCCGAACTTTGTTCGGTTTTCAAAGTTCGGTGAACACGAACTTTTTTTAAATGAAAAATAATACTTTTTTTTTTTGGTTTTTAAACGATTTATTGACAGTGATATAATTATCTGTAATAGCCATGTTCTAAGAGCAACATATTATGATTAAAATTATGATTGTTGTCTAAACATATCGTTTTTAAAAACGATTTTGTATCCAACGATTTCGTGCATATATCTGCCAACTGATCTGATATACTAATTGATTCTATTTTTCCAACTCCTTTCTCCACATTATCTCTAATGAAGTGATGTCTAATATCAATATGTTTGGATCTTTTTGACTCTACATTATTTGCCATGCATATGCAACCACGATTGTCTTCATTAATAGTAATGGTTTCATTCTTCAAAATATTTAAGTCTTGAAGTAGGCCTCTCAGCCATATAGCTTCAGATACTGCAGAACTTAAGGCTACGTATTCGGCTTCACTTGACGATGTTGCAACTGTTTGCTGCTTTTTACTGGACCATGATACTGTACATCCATATACTTTAAATATGTAACCACTAATCGACTTCCGATCTGTAGTATCGCTTGCCCAATCGGCGTCGGCATATCCAACCAAAATATTATTGTCGCTTGCTGTGTATATTAGTTTCTTTTTAACTGTACCTTTTAAATATCTTAAGACTCTTTTCAATGATTGCCAATGTTGTTCTGAAGGATTTTGTTGAAATCTTCCGAGATAGCTCACATGGTAACATATATCAGGCCTTACACAAAGTATCACGTACATAAGACTCCCTAAGAGTTCTCGATAGGGTTTATCGATTGTATTACCGACATTATAGGTGAGTTGTAGTCCTTTTTCCATAAGTGTCTTGACAGGATTACATTCAGTCATTGAAAACCTTTCCAAAATCTTTTGTATATTGGCTTCTTGAGACATCACTATGCTATTGTTTTTTCTTTCAAATTTTATTCCTAGGAAATATTTGAACTGTCCACAATCAGATAACTCAAAATGTTTTGAAAGTTCAGTTTTTAGATTTTCAATAGATGTCAGGTTCGAACCAGCAACCAATAAATTGTCAACATACATTATTATATATAAAACTTCGTTTTCATTTTGACCATACTTAGTATAAAGACAATAATCATGCTTCGAACGGACAAAACCCATTTTTATTAAAAATTCATTTAACTTATCATTCCAACACTTAGGCGCCTGTTTTAGTCCATACAGAGATTTAAGTAGCCGACAGGAAACACCTTTTTCAGCAGTCACCCCTTCTGGTACAGCCATATAGATTTCTTCACGCAAGTCTCCATTTAAAAATGCGGTTTTTATGTCCAATTGATGAAGTTGCATGTTTTTCTTAACCGCAATAGCAAGAACCACACGTATTGTTGTCAGTTTTGCCACAGGAGAATACGTTTCGTTGTAGTCTATACCAAACTTTTGTAAAAAACCTTTTACAACTAACCTGGCTTTGTATCG